TCCAACCACACTCGCCTGTATCTTCCCTTTTAGCATAGATCTCTCTCCCCTGCCATCTTCTCTTAGAAATCCCACAGAAAGTTCCAATTCAGGATAAAAAACCTACCTCGTACCACTCCCCACCCTACAGCCCATACTACTTTTCATTAATACTCTCCTCCCCACTGAGGTACTTATCAGCCAGTTTCCAGTTCTGGTCAATGCCATTTCTGTGGTAACTTTTTAGTCTTCACCACCTTGGCTCACTCCTTACCTCGTCTCATCTGGGTCACAGCGAGAAGCTGCAAAAGTCTCCCTGCCTCCACTCGCCACCCCTTCAAGCTATTCTCCACTGCTCAGCGTTGCCAGGGTGAACTGACTGTATCTTTCCTTATGCGCTTCAATAGGTCCACCTTCTTAATGTCTTTAGGGTTAAACTCCTCAGAATAGCGTACAAAGCCTTCACTACCTATATCCTGCACATCTTTCCAACTCCATCGTTCACCCAGTTGTGGGAACCAGCTTTGCACACACATCTTCCTCTGCTTGGAATACTCTTCCCCTGACAAACTCATACTGATCCTCTAAGAATGGAACTTCGCTCACACACGCCGGGGGGGGCCTTTGCTGACACTCCCAGCACTCGTCTGAGTAGGTGCCTCTTCTCCCTTCCCAGCCCTGCAGCATTCCCAAGCTCACTCACAAACAGTCAACCACTGTCCGATCCATGCTCTGTCCCCTCCACTGGACTGGCTGCCCCTTCAAAGCAAGGCTTCTTTTTTAAAAATTATTATTACTTTTTTATTGTTGATAGTATTAAAGATATCTCCATCCCCTCCTTTTCCCCCCTCCTAACCCTTACACCCCCCCCCCCAAGGTCTTCACTAACTTGTCTTTGTTGTTGTTAATCCTCATACAAGAATATTTTTCCCATTGATTTTTAGAGAGTGGAAAGGAGGTAGGGAGAGGGAGAGAGAGAGACAGGCACATTGATTGGTTGCCTTCCACATGCGCCCCAATCTGGTTAGGAACCGAACCTGTGACCTTTCGCTACACAGGCCAATGCTCTAATCACTGAGACACACCAGCCAGGCCAGCAAGGCTTATCTTTTACTAGAGGCCTGGTGCACGTGGCGTGCAGGGATCACACTGAAACCGGCCCTGTGGGGGTCCCTCAGCCTGGCCTGGGGGGACTGGGCCAAAACCAGCAGTCCAACATCCCCCAAGGGGTCCCAGATTGTGAGAGGGCGCAGGCCAGGTCGAGGGACCCCACCGGTGCACCAGGCCTCTAGCATGCATGTAAGAACTTTGGTTAATCTCTTCCCGCCCTGCCCCCTCCCCTGAGATTCATCAGTCTGCTCCATGTTTCCATGCCTGTGTGTTGAGTGTCTGCCCCCCGGTGGTCAGTGCACATCATAGCTACCAGTCCAATGGTCCAACAGTCTGACACTCAGCATATTAGCCTTTTATATATATACCAGAGGCCCGGTGCATGAAATTTCATGCACTGCGGGGGTATCCCTCAGCCCGGCCTGCGCCCTCTTGCAGTCCGGGACCCCTTGGGGGATGTCCTGGGCTTCTGGCTGAGTGGTGCTCCCCCTGTGGAAGCACAACTGACCACCAGAGGGCAGCTCCTGTGTTGAGCGTCTGTCCCCTGGTGGTCAGTGTGCATCACAGCGACCTGTCATTCGGCCATTCGGTCTATTTTCATATTAGGGTTTTATTATATAGGACATAGATATAGATTACTACATTCCCAGTTCCTCTGCACAGTACCAGGTATACAGTAGGCATCCAATAATGCTTGTAAAACGAATCACTGTGTACCTACTGCGATGAATTGTGCCCATTTTACCTCCCCCTTGAAGTGTCCTCCAGCCTGGGAGGATGTCTTTTATATTTTTTCCTCCCCTCTCCAAACTACAGTATATATAGTACTTAATTAAAGGCAGGTGTTCAACAAACACTCGCTGTTTCCAAGTAAACCTTAACCCCCATTCCAACACCAGCATCTTCACTCGGGCGCCTATGGAAGAGCCAGGAAGGAGCCGTCCCCCAGAGAAGGAGCTGTGCCTGCGGTCGCGCGGGCGGCGGCGGGAGGTCCAGGCCAGCTTATCTGTCTGCGAGGTGTACAGTGTGGTGCCAGGGCTTTCTCAGTCCTCCCCTCTGCCCCTCGGTTCCATATGCTCCTCCTCCTCTCTTACCCGGTCCCACTTAAGCTCGTGCGCGACACGCGTCACCTTTCCCGTCGCCTCCACCCCAAACCCGCCGGGGCAAACGTCTCCGCCCCATGCACGCACGCGCAGTAGCCCGCAGGGCCGGCGCGGCCGCGGCCCTCTCCTAAAGCAGGTACACTCTTCTCCCCTCTCGCTGCCTCCCGGCCCACGAGCCTCACCTGCGGCGCTCGTGCCCTCTCCGTCCCCGATCCACTCGGGTTCCGGCGGCTGCTGCTTGGGACCCTTCGGCATCGCGGTGGCAGTTATGGTTACTCTGGCGGCGCCGGGTGCTATTTCCGCTTCCGGTAGCGTGGGTCTCTGAACAGAGGAGCATCTCCACGCCGACCCCGCCCCCGGGCGGCGCACGTACGCGCCTTAGCGTCCTCTTGGGGGCGTGTCTGCGACTATGGGGCGTGGCCTGCGCGGGCGGGCGTGGTCTGCGGGCTCCGACCTTGGCAGAGCGTTTTTGAAGGTCTGGGAAGCCACGCTCCGGGGCTTCCTGACGCCGCATCACTAATTTCTGACTAGTAGGAAGGAAGGCCTGGACGCACCTTTTTTAAAAAAGTGGTTGCTACTTACGACCAGCCCCTTACGTCTGCGTAGGGACAGAAAGGCGCAGTCCGCCTTCCAAGGCTTGTCGGTCTGGTGTTGAGGTGTCCACTCCAAGCCTAACATGGTGCGGTGGAGCTTAAGCCCCCCTTTTTGGTAAAAGCTGTACTAGGTTAGTATACAATAGAATGCACATACAATAAATTGGCAGGCAAACTGCAAAGCGTCCCCGTTGGTAAGTTCTGGCATATATACACCCACATCGAGGTTTGGTTCACTTCTAACACTACCCCTTAGCTGCTAAGGCTTAGCAGGTGTGGGAGCACGTGCCTGCCAGCCCGTCCGCTCCCAGTCTCCTTAAGCCACTAGGTCCTGCCTTTGTCCCCACATGGCCTGAAGTCGCCCTTGCTAAGGGTCAGCTGATTAGGTCAGTGTCCGTCCTTACCCTTCTCTCTCCCAGCAGCATGTAATACAAATGGCCACTCCCTCTTGCCTTCGTTTTCTTTAGGGACAGGGCTCTCCCCAGGGTTCCTTTCCATCTCAGTGGCTCCGCTTTTCCCTCTCTTCCTGGTGTCTCCTCCTGAAGACTAGATGTTGAAATATTTTGGGGCCCATTATTTGACACCCTTCTTTATCTGGATCTATTACCTATGCCTCATGTCTTTATTTTTTTTTATTTAAAAATTTTTAGCCCTAACCGGTTTGGCTCAGTGGATAGAGCGTCGGCCTGTGGACTCAAGGGTCCCAGGTTCAATTCCAGTCAAGGGCATGTAACTTGGTTGCGGGCACATCCCCAGTAGGGAGTGTGCAGGAGGCAGCTGATTGATATTTCTAACTCTCTATCCCTCTCCCTTCCTCTCTGTAAAAAATCAATAAAATATATTTTTTAAAAAATTTTAAGTATTTTTATTGATTTCAGAGAGGAGGGGAGAGGGAGAAATAGAAACATCAATGATGAGAATCATTGATGGCTGCCTCCTGCACGCCCCTACTGGGGATTCAGCCTGCAACCCCAGCTCCTGCCCTGACAGGGAATCCAACCATGACCTCCTGTCCATGCTCAACCACTGACTCACACTGGCCGGGCTGTTTCATGACTTTAAATGCCATCCATAACTGATGAAGATCCCCACATGTCTCTTGTTGCTCTCAACTTCCTTAAGCTTCAGGCTCAGGAATCCAATTGCTTATTGGACATTCCCTCTGAGATCTCTGATAAACATCTCAAATTAATATGTACAAAAACTGCCCTAGCTGGTTTGGCTCAGTGGATAGAGTGTCGGCCTGCAGACTGAAGGGTGCCGGTTTGATCCCAGTCAAGGGTACATGCCCAGGTTGCAGGCTCCATCCCTGGTAGGGGGCGTGCAGGAGGCAGCTGATCAATGATTCTCTCTCATCATTGATGTTTCTATCTCTACCTCTCCCTTCCTCTCAAAATCAATTTAAAAAATATATTAAAAAAAAAAAGAAATCTTGCCATTTGTGACAACATGGATGAACCTAGAGAGTATTATGTTAAATTAAGTAAGTCAAACAGAGAAAAACAAATGCTATATGATTTCACTTATATATGGAACGTAAAAAACAAAATAAATGAACAAACAAAACAAAAACAAACTCAGATTCAGATTTGGAGAACAAACTGATGGTTGCCAGAGGGGCTGGAGGGGGGCTGGGTGGAAAAGGGGAAAGGATTAAGAAATACAAACTTCCAGCACTGGTAGGTGCGGCTCAGTTGGCTGGGTGTCTCCTGTGCACCAAAATGTCAGGGCTTGATCCCTGGTAGGAGATGTGTAGGAGGCAGCCAATTGATGTTTCTCTTTCACATCGATGTTTGTCTTTCTCTGAAAAAAAAATCAATAAAAAAAAGAAATACAAACTTCCAGTTATAAAAATAGTTATGGGAGATTTAAAGTGCAGCATGGGGCCCTAGCCAGTTTGGCTCAGTGGATAGAGACTGAAGGGACTCGGGTTTGATTCTGGCCAAGAGCATATGCCTAGGCTGCAGACCGGATCCCCAGTGTGGGGCGTGCAGAAGGCAGCCAGTCAATGATTCTCTCTCATCATTGATGTTTCTCTCTCTCTCTCCCTCTCCCTTCCTCTCTGAAATCAATAAAAATATATTTAAAAAAATAAAATAAAATACAAAGTGTAGCATGGGGAACATAGTCAATATGATAACTCTGTGTGGTGTCAGGTGTGTACTGGACTTGTGGTGACCACTTTGTGAGGTATATAAATGTATAATCACTATGTTGTGCATCTGAAACTAATATTATTGTATGTCAACTATAATTTAAAATAAATTTAAATAACCAAATACAAATAATAGCTAAAATTGAAAAGAAAGAAAGAAATCACACCATCTTTTTATTCTTGGGCTAAAACTGAGAGAGTCTCTCCATCCCTCCTCCTCATCAGCAAGCCATGTTTGTTTCACTCATTTATTTATTTATTTATTTATTTATTTATTTTCACTCATTTATTTTAAAAATGTATTTCTTGAGTGCATGGGATGTGCAAGGTACCCTTGTACTTAGTTAGGGTCTTGGGATATAACCAAGTAAAGCAAGGATCTCTGCTTATATCGGTAGGAGGGAGATAATGCTATGGAAAAAAGAAAATAGACATTAAGGTAAAAAGTATCAGGAGAGCAGGTCATAGTTCTAAATCAGTGGTTCTCAACCTTGGCTGCACATTAGAATCACCTGGGAATCTTTTTAAAATCCTGATTTTTGGGCCTCATCCTCCAGAAATTCTGTTTCTTTGTTACTAATGTTGTGGCCCCACCCCATAACAAAGAAACAGAATTTCCGGAGGATGAGGCCCAGAAATCAGGATTTTAAAAAAGATTCCCAGGTGATTCTAATGTGTAGCCAAGGTTGAGAACCACTGTTCTAAAGAGACTGTTCATGAGGCCTTGGTGAGATGAAATTAAGGCAAAGCCCTGAAGAAAGGGGTTTGGCCCCATGGATTTCCAGAAGAGCCCTCCCGGCAGAAGGGACAGGTTGGGACTCCCACACGAGGGTCCTGGACGTCCCTGAGGAGCACAGAGCGGAGGCCAGCGTGGCGGGAGGCAGCCAGGGCTGGAGAGGTGAGCAGCGAGGCACAGAGGGTCTGCATTGGGCAGGATCTTTCAGGTCATCTTAAGGAACTGGCTTCTACTCTTGACTAAAACAGAAGTCATTACAAGGTTTTGAGCAGAGAAGTCACCTGACCTGGCCTACATTTTAAAAGGATGACTTTGGCCCTGGCCAGTTTGGCTCAGTGGATTGAGCATCAGCCTGCGGACCAAAAGGTCCAGGGTTCGATTCTGGTCAAGGGCACATACCTTGGTTGCAGGCTCCTCCCTGGCCCAGACCCTGGTTAGGGTGCATGCAGGAGGCAACCAATTGATGTGTTTCTCTCACTTCAATGTTTCTTTTTGTGTTTCCCTCTCTCTTCCACTCTCCCTAAAAATCAATGGAAAAATATCCTCGGGTGAGGATAAATGTTAAGGGCAGCTGGCAAAAAACACTCGGTTTAATTACGTGGCTGAAACTCAGAGCGAAGGCAGGTCCACGCCCTGGGGGTGGACTTAATCAAGAGATTGGGACGTCACTCAGTCTGACTTTCCCTCCCAGTGTTAAGGGGATGGATCTCATGATGTCACCAGGAACTCAAGGCCCACCCAGATGTGATGTAACTTCCTGTTATTCGAGTATTTAATAAACTCCTCTGTGCCTGTCCCTCGAGTCAGAGGGCAGACGCCACACCCAGCCCAAGCTTTTGTTCTATTTTTGTGTCTGTGTTTTCATTTTTTTCTAATCCCAAAAGCACCTCCAACATCTCTCTCTCTCTCCGTGCTGGACGCGGAGAAGAGACCCCAGCCCGGCATAGATAAAAAACAAAATAAAAGGATGACTTTGGGTGCTGTGCTGAGCATAGACTGAGGGAATAGGTAGGCAGGATGGCAGAAGCAGGGAGACCCGTCAGGGGTGACTCTGACCAGGAAGATAGTAGTGGAAGTGGGGGCAGGGCTGATTTCTGGATATATTTTTTAAAAAGAGCCTGTGGGTTTGATGAATGAATTGGATGTCAGATATTACAAATTAAGGATGACTCAAAGGTTTCTAAACTGAGCAATTAGAAAGATGAGTTGTCATCACTTGAGACATTAAAACACATCCTAAATCTGCCTGCTTCTCTCCACCTCTGCCCCCGAGCAAGCCACCTCTTTCCTGTGACTACAGGAGTGGCCTCCTGACTGCTCTCCCTGCTGTTATTCTCCTTCTCCAGTCTGTCCTTCAGTCAGTATAAGTTTTATTTATTATTTTTATTTTGTTTTAATTGACTTTAGAGCGGGAGGGAGAGAGAGGTAGAAAAACATCCCTGTGAGAGAGAAACAGGAATCGGTTGCTTCCCATATGCACACTGACTAGGGACTGAACCCACAACCTGGGTATGTGCCTGACCAGTATTCGAGCCCCTCAGGACCTTCCCGTGTACTGGACGAAGCTCCTAGCCATTAAGCCACCCAGCCAGGGCCAGTAGAAATTTTAAAATGTGCACCATTTGCTCAAATCACTCAGAAGAAAATCCCAATGCTATATATGGCCTGGCCCGTCAGGGCTCCTGATCTCATCTCCCAGGCTGGCCTCACTGGTCTTCTACTTCCACTGAGATGCATTTCCACCTCAGGGCCTTTGCCCGTGCTGTTCCCTATGCCGGGAATGCATTTCCCCCAACATTCATGCGGCTGCTTCCTCATTTAGTTTCGGGCTTTATTCCTCTATTGGCAAGTGACCTCCAGCCTCTGCCTTCACTCTTCTTCAGAGCCCTTATGACAGATGATATTCCACATGCCCTTATTGGTGATGGTCCTCAATAACTGAGCGCCGTGTGGGCCAGGGTTTTGTCTTTTTCAGTGATATACCCCCAGCTCCTAAAACGGGGCCTGGCTCAGAGGAGGCACTAAAGTGTTCATTGAACGAGTGA